AGTAAACTCTCCACTGTGACTGTTACTACTAGTATAGTTACAATTGGTTTGGACAGAGACATTTCCTGGAAAACAAAAATATGTAGCAAAGTAAAGTCATGCATTTATTTGAGATTTGTTTGTACAAAAATTATATATGACCAATATTGTTTTTTTTTATAATTTTTACTACAATAATATTCTATGCTCAAATTCAGAGCTGTCATTGAAAAAAAAAATAATAAAAACTGATCTTCCATCTTGATCAGTGTGAAAGGTCGAAACATGTCATTTTTCAAACCTTTTTCTGGAGTCCTTGTTGTCCTCACAAAAAATCACACATCAATCGAATTTCAAGCCACAAGAAAATYAAAATGAAAAGAGGGCAATTGGTTAAATATTTTTCAGAGATTTGCAAGATTTTCTAAAGAATTTTCCACTGAATGATTTCTATAGATTTATTTATTAGGAAATGCAGATATTTTGGCTATAAAATCAAAATTAAATTATTCAAAGTTCATAAGCATATCCTGTGCCGAGCATGTACGCTGGTTTGCTCAATCACGGTCTTATAGCAACGATTATGAGATGGTTAGAAAAATCGTTTTGTATAAAAATTCCATGCTTACCCTCACTTATAGAGACAGCAAAAAGAACTCCAAATAAAATCAAAAGCAACCCCATTATTGACTGCTTGACTCCTCACGACGCCTGCAATCAAAAACTACGAACACGTTTTATGAAGTACCCTTTCATAGGGACTGCCCCACCTTAAGGGCTTCTTGAAGAAACTTAAGTAATGCCCCGAGTAAGAACTAGGGAAGCAAACGGCACAGGAATGCAAGAAGGTGCTAATTGTGCATTGTATAATCCATCCATYYCATTGGTTAAAAYATSAAAATCTGCTATAATTTCACAAGTTAGCAAATTTTCTAATATTTTATTTGATGTCTGTTTTCACATTCATGAAAGCTTTCTTTAGCTTCAATATTAAGGCAACTCTACGTGGGGAACATAGCAAATTAGAAGCATCTTTTGGCTATTGTTTTGAGTGCTTATGATTGGATAAGAGCTTTTAATACTAAAGAAACTTTGTTCAAAATAGAGTTTATCCATATTTTATTTCAAAAATGTGTTACCCATAGGTTGATATATAATCAGTGTGAAAACCAAGACATTCGTACATGGGTAAGTTGCAATGCCGCAGAACAATAAAGAGTTCCCTAGTTCTTAAGTGCATTGTTACTTAAAAGGCGCGAGACAAAAACCTAAACTGCTACCTTCATAATTAAGTTAAAAAAGCAAGATATATTACTAGGAAACAAGAAGGACAAGAACAAGAAGAGAAGCAGAGTTGTAGAGCAGCTTTACGAAGACAATGAATTGCAAGAAAAAAGAAGAAGAACGAGAAGAACACTCGCTAAAATAAAATAAAGTATAATACGAAATAAAGACAAAAGAAAAGAACTTACCAGGAATGCTATTCTCTGCAAAGATACCTTGTTTGTGTACCGGGTTTAAGGTATATGATAACCTGCTCTGTATATCCAGTATTTATATGATTAAAATGCAATTAAATACAGATATAGATCGATTAATCACATTTTGTAATCTTTTATTCTATTTTTCAATCTGAGCTGTGTTAAGTACCTACCATTGAAAATGGCAGTTGCTATTGTAGCAGGGATTAGTCTTATCAACAGATATAACTTTGAATTTGAAAGCGTACAATCCTTGTGGGATTAAACAGAAAGCAGGGCATTCCTTCTTTCATTTTGAAGTGACAAATCGGAATAATTAGTAAATAACCTGTTTCCAAGGTAAAAGTTAAGGTCATCATCATCAAAGCATTCTATTGTCCGTTCCGAAATTCAAAAAGTGGCTCGATACCGTTTGAAGCAATCAAAAAACATACTAAAATTAGTATTGTTGCTGAGTTTGCACGTATTCGGATTGATAATTACACGGTTTCAAGCATTTAAACCTCGAAAAAATTACAAAGAATGTATGGAGATTTTGAGAAACGTCTCCAAAAACCATGCATTCTCTTTTATTTTTACAAATTTGAAAAAATTTCTTCTCGGTGAGTATTCAACTAAATATGCTCAAACCTGGCACACTTATTTTATTGTGGTCTTTCATGTGTTCTAGAACTCATTAATAATTCATGAGCTATTAGTCCAATCAGAATCCAACTATTGGGTTACATGATGGACCTTTATATCCCGATAAAGCACTGATGTTTTATTAATCAGTTCTATATCAGAGATATAGAACTGATGTTTTATTAATCAGTTCTATCAGATATAAAGAACTGATGTTGAAGGTGATCAGCGCTTTATCGCAACCCAACACTAGCAAAGGTCTCAGTTTTAATGTCGCATCATAGACCTTTGCTAGGTTTTAAATCTGTTTGAATCAATGTGCAGATATGCGGTATAGCATAGACTAGCCGTTCTTACGTGTGGGATCAAAATTCTTTCATTTGTGACAAATGCACATGCTCAGTAGAAGTTTAACATGCATAATCTCTGTTTTCACACTTTTTAGCTTTTTTCTAAAATGATAACAATTTCTGGATGTTGGAGTTCTAGAAGTAGTATAAAAAACTCGCAGTCGTGCTTTATCGGGGATATAGACACTCGGCCTTTGTCCTCGTGTCTATATCTCCCGATAAAGCACTCCTGCTCGTTTTTCAAACACTACGTAAAATTCAAGTTTTCGATAAATGTAATATTTTCACACTCGTCCCCAGTCTCCTTTTGAATTTCGGACCGGCCAATTAAGCCATAGGAGCAAACTAAATATATTACTTGGGCCGAATGTAGCAAAATTAAAAATTGAGAGCTCGCTGAGGAAACTAGCAATGTCAGAGAACTGTGAAATCATATATTTATGCAGATATTTTCGAGTGTGTAAAACGTATATACAGAACCATATTAGTAAACTATTGTGATACACTTTTAATTACGTGAACAATGAAAACTTTTATCTTATCTATCTCATGTTATCTCATTGTATTTTTTCTATTTTTAGTCCAGAGCTTCTTTTTTACGTGTATATATTATATTGTCAATTTAATCCACATTGCCTAGGGCTCTCTGTCCGCAATGATGTCGACATATCTGTATTCTATCAATAAAGTTGAATAGAGGATATTACATGGGCGCGCGGAGATACGGATTCTATAACATGTTATTTCACTAGTGAAAATATCAACTATACGAACTTTAGAAATATAGGTATTCTAGAAATATAATTAATGATAAATCTTCTTTAAGTTACAAATTTACAACATTCAAATGTTGTACAATTTTCTTCAGCATATACTTGAAAAGAGAGTGAAAGCAATCAATCCGCGAAATTTAATTTAAATTAATTTAACCTCTTTGTACTATTTTGTACAATTTAGTTGATGGTGTTCGAAAAGGACAATGGTGATTAAAAGGACGTTCCGCTTCATTCTCAAATTTAGTTCATATTTTGATTTTGTACAATTTTTTATAGATAAACTACAGATAATAATTTTATTAATCGCAATCTTTAAACATTATATAAATGTTATCAGATTGAGTTGGATAGATAAATTAAAATGATTAAAAATCTCATTACATGGTCTTTGAAGTCGGCTGCTTTATGGCAGACTATTAATATTCACATTCGACAGTCAAGACCATCTTGCATTATAGTCTAAAAGCCGGCTAGCTTTGCAGCGAAACTTCACAAACTCGTTTAGTGAAACTTACGATGCAAACGATCGATATGTTATAGTGGGTGTCTGTTGGGGTGCTTAGGTGACAATGCTAACCCACGAAAAACAAAACAAAAGAAAACAAAAAATAAAAAATTTGATTTAGGGTTTAAGAAATTGTAATTGCAAAAATTGTTTCAGAAAATTTAACGCACTGATTTTAATCAGTTAATTGTTTCCATTTAGACGTAG